ACAGGAAAATTAATTACAGTGTACTTTTAGCTAAAAATATTTCTCTACTACTTAGTAACATTTTGAATGCAAGACTACTGCTACTTTTACTTACAGCCCTTCCAAGGAACTTTCATTTTATGTTGGTGCCCCTGTGGACAAAAGCTGTAATGTTTCTACCTCCTCATTTCATTGATTTGGAATCCGACCCAGTGTTAGGCATTCATAATAACTATATAGAAATAGCCAATCTACTCACTGATGGTCTTTTTTGTTTTAAAGGGTCATATAGAGTCATCAACATTACATTTTGACTGCTTCATAGCCATTGTGGTACGTTTAAGAAAGGGATTGAGCACATCTTCCACCTAAAGCTGTGAATCACACCCTTTGTCATATGTTACACACCCAATGAGGGATTATCCTTTTAGGGGAATGTTGTTCTGTGTACCTGAAAGTCTCTAAGGTTCCTGATGTAGAGAAGAAGACTTGGACATTGTTGGTGACATTAGATGCTTTTGTGACTTGTGGCCTTGTAGACATCTCATGCAGGTCAGCACTTTGGAATTTCCTCTCAAAATGCGAACTTCCTTTAAAAATGTGCTCCAGTTAAGTTTCTAATTTGAGCTTCTCCACCTTTTCTGATACATTCTCATGACCTCAACAATTAGACTGTAAAGCTTTTCATGTATTTTTTTATTAGGATATATCAATCAAATGAGAAGACTATGAGTCTTTTAACACTACAAGCACTGCATTGTCTTGAAAGCACACATCTTTCCAAAGCAGTATAAGATGTTTGCACATAAGATAAGATAAGATGTTCCTTTAGAAGAAATTCAAGTTTGGCATAGCAGCACAAGCGAACTAGAGTGCAAAGAGCCAATATAATAAAAATATAATGAGAAACAAATAGAAATCTAGAATATAAAAAATGTATACACAATATACAATAAAGTTGTGTAAGATGTGTGTTCTAGATAATGCAAGCACAGCACTGGCTCCTGTCCTCAGAGGGCCGATGTGCTCGGTGGCGCTGCAGTTGCCCTGTTTCAGTTTGTCTAATGGGTTAAGTGCTGTGGGTAAATAAACACTCAGCAGATGCTGGAGGTGATCAAGCCTGAACTTTCTCTGTGGAAAGCGAGCAAATGGCTTCCAGATTGACCGGTGCTGTTGGAGGGAGGGAGGGGCTGACTGCTTGGAAAAGGGAGAGAGTGTCATCAAAGGGCCTGTTTTTACAAACACAACCCCTCAGCACATCAAACCGGGGGCACCGGCGGCCCCTGGCCCCCAGCTCAGCTGCACCAACAACGGCGACTTGTGCGGAACCTGGTTCCACTCATAAAGCGGGACACCATGGTGTTTTACCACGCGCAGGCTAGGCAGCAACACGACCCTCCTGCTCTTTCTCTCCCCCCCAATCACAGTTTGGAACCGTAAATACTTTTACCCCCCCAACCCCTCACCCCCGGCATCAACTTAAAGGAATGCCATTAAATGCCTGTTGAGGTGATTAAAGTACTAATGAAGTGAGGTGGGTGGGATGTTTGTCAGGAAAGATGGTACTCATTGAGAACTTCTTACTTTTGACTAAATGGTTTTTATGGCATTGGATGAAGCTGCCAACAAATAATATAGTGCGTTGTTAGTCATAATCCTACCAATAAAAGGGATATTGTTCTTGCCAGGGCAGATAAGTCTTATGAAATAGCAATTAGACCCTTGTGGGATTATAAAGGTGTCCAAAAAAGCCTCAAAAAAGTGTCTAAAAGCCAAAATAGTGGCATTATTTCAGGTGGGTTACCAGCTCCTGACAGGAGGAAACCATCTGTTTCAGGAATGAGCTGTTGTTATTCCCATGTCACTGAATTGTTTAGACTGTGTTGGTTGACTATGAGGTTTAAAGGGACAGTATAGGCCAAAATCTGAAATGTATTTTTGTAGTGCTATTTATTTATGCAACTAGATTGTTTAATAAAGTTGGATTGGATTGGACTGTTTTGGTGTGTCAATGGCGTCATATCCCCTTTGTGCCTGTGTCAGTGTTGTGGTTGTCTGCTAGAAGCTGTCATACATTTACTTTTTATCCAGCCTGAAGCCACATTTTTATCCACTGTTTAGATCTTGGTGCTTTTTAAACTTCTAATTTGAACCGGATAAAGGATTTTAGTCATTGGCGACGTTTGGATCTAAACAAGCTGAGCTAATGTTAGCAGCAGGCTCTGCTCGCAGCTCTCGTTAGACATCCATTTGTCTGCCCAAACAGCGCGGGAGAAGCAGTGATTTTTAAGGTGGAACTGCTTTATTCAGTGTGTTTAGTGGTTTTAATCAGCAGGTCTGTTTGTTTTGGAGAGGAGGAGTTGTTGGAAAGTTTTTGGTTCAATCCCCGGCTGCATGTCGAAGCATCCTTGAGCAAGGTACTGAAACCCAAATTGCTCCTGATGCTGTGTCATCAGTGTGTGAATGTGCATGAGTGAGTTTCTGTTCAATGGACTTATGCACTGTATGAATGGGTGTGAAAGGGTGAATGTGGCATGTAGTGCAAAAGCACTTAGTGTGGTCATAAGACTAGAGAGGCGCTATACAAATACAGGTCCATTTACCAGGTCAATTTACTTTACGTACTCAAACTACTTAATTTCAGACTTAAATATTCAAATATTGACGGAATTGTCCCCAAACTAGGTTGTGGATTTTGAAATTGATTTGGTTGACTCCCTTTAAGGGACAGGTGAGACTCGTGGTGTGCAATCTTTTTCAAGTTTAATTACTTATCCCACTGTAAATGTGTCAGGCTTGATAAACTATAAATCAATGGTGAAACTAATGAAGTGACTTTTTTGCAACTAGTACCGTCAATTTTGAACTATTTCCCTAAAAAGCATACTATGGCATTGTTGTATGCAATGCATCTACTTGCATGTTTTACAGCTTGTCAGCTGTACCAGGCTGTCAGCTGTCACTGACAGCCTGGTATCTGATTATTAATAACATACCAATATGAGCAAAGTGCTATTTCATTTTAATCACACTACATATCAAAAATGAACAGAATAAACAACAGATCTCTACCAAGATGCAGATGCAAAAGACAAAATAAAGGCGGTGCAGGCAGTATACTCCCCCTCTGCCATACACAGTGTGGAGTGAGGAGACGATGAGCGCATAGCCCGTCAGTGTTAACTGTCTGCTGGGAAAGACTGCGGTCAGATAACTTGACTCATCGGAAACAGCTGCACTGGAGAGAAAAGAGTCTCCTCCTAACAGCCAGCTGCAGCCTACTGCAAAGGGCCTTTAATGATTTATCTGTGTGTGTGTGTGTGTTGAGTGGGTGGGGAAGACACGTAGTATAGTGGCATAGTTTGAATAGTTCAGATTACAGTTTAATGTACACTGCTACTTTAATACACTTATAAGGAAGCTAAATTGAAGTATACTTTAATAAACGTCTAATAAAGACTACTAATAGTGTATTACAAAGTACATTTCATAACACCACATATTTCCAATTTAATTTACTTTTTTAAAGTAAACTTAAGTACAATTTACAATACACTTCCAAATAAAATAGACTATTTTCAAAGGTACACTGAAATACAGTTTAAAATAAACTTTAAGTGCACTATTTGTAACTGTACTTCAATACACTTGTAATGAAGCAAAATAAAAGTATACTTTAATAAAGAAGACTAATAGTGTATTACGAAGGACTTGAAAATACATACTTTCCATAAGTACACTAAATTACCACCGCAATTTAGTACACTTATATAACATTTATAGTACACTTACAATAAAATAAACTTTGTAAACACACACTAAAGTAAATACTTTAAGTATTGCAGAATGAGTATATTAATTTTTGGCTATGGAAGTTGGTAAAACTTCATTTTAAATATACATTAAATTAAGCACAAAAAGTATACTTATCATAACTTTTGCATACTTAAACGACATTCC